TGATGTTGACTTAATATTAATTTTTTTTTCAAAACTCCGGATATTATTTTATATAATATTTTAATACAACTACAATATGTTAATTAGTATGCAAATTAATATGCAAATTAGCAGCCAATCTGAGACAATGCAATCCAGTTCAAAGGAAATTTGACATAAACTTAGGTTACATGATCACTGCCTCTGCCGATTAGTTTTTTATGCCCTTCTATCTGCTGTTTTACATTAAATGTAGTTTTTTTGTATTTCTCTCAATAGTTTTTTTTTATTACTTTTGATAGCTTGGCATCCATTTGGTTCAGCTCAAGTGAAATTTTCGGCACAAGTACTCTGGCTTTTTGCACATTCTTAATATTTTATTTTTGCAGAATCCTGTGAATATTAATTTGACAACTTTGTAGAGTGGAAACTGTTGAATTAGTTCATCCTAGACTTTGGCAGAACATGTTTAAAATAGTACAGTGTGAACTGCAATTTTTTTCTGGCTGGTATCAATTTATTAAGTAATATTTTTTCGTACTAAAAAGACTCAAATATCTTTTTTAATTAAATCTAACAGCCAATGGGAGCACATATGCTACAACCTCTGCTTACTTTGGACTAAATGTTCTTTTTTTCTCAGAAAGCAAAGGCACTGGAACTACATTATTACAAAAACATACCGGTACTATTCACTGCGTGTCTGACAATTGTATAAAGTTTCGCAGGTCCTCTTTTTTTTACTTTGAGAAGTTCTGTCAACCAAAGCATAAATATGTGTTTTCTCTGTACATAAAATTTCACATGATTTGTTAATATTAATGTATGATAATAAAAACTTGATAATATTCTTCTGGATTTTTGCACTTTATTTGTATCATTGTCGTATGAGAAATAATCTTGTCCTTATTAGAGATATTGAAACTGATCCAGGGCCCCAAACTAATTTATCCAAACAGACACAACACTGACTCTACATATTTGCAGATCTGATTTGTATACTTCCTTGTCATTTTACCTGTTGTACTGGTTTGGTGCTATCTGGTTTCCTTGCTGAGAATAATGCTGACCTGGATGGAGAGTGCTATAAATACGAAAATGCTATAGAAATCACGTTTGCCAATTTATGTCCATGCAACTTTAGAATGACAACTAGCGAAGGCAGTGTCATTCATGACTTGTGTTACATAATCTCCTCCACCATTACATAATATATTCCATGCAGGAACAAGTTATGTTTTTTTAATATTCATTGTATTAGGCATAATAATTTAAATTTTAATTTACGAGCTAGCAATTGAACATAATAAGTAGATATTTTTTTATTCAGCTTTCATTTGAAAGACGATATATTGACATGGAATATCAACAAGTATCAACAATATTTTAAAACATGTATTATGTATCATTTTGTTTTGCACTCTTCATATAATATAAAATGGTCTTTTGCAACTCTGCATATCTTTTTCAAATCGTACTCAGCACCCACATAGAACCTGGTTTACTAGGCAATGAGCTATTTTTGTATCTCTTAGGCGCTCATTAGAACGCACTGGATGATGGCTTACATGTACAATTGCCCTGCACACTAAAATACCAGCATTTATTCAGAATATGGCAATATTACATCCCTGACTTTAGAATGGCTAATTTTTAGTGGGTTTAAATTTCACTGAATTCCCATTTCAGGCATACCCCGTGGATTCCAAATTCATGGTTTTATTATTTCTATGCCGAATTTTACATATTCACTGGACTTTAATTTAGCGCATTTTCCAGTCCGAGAAATAAACAAAGTTAAAACCCAGTGAATAATTTATCCTTTTACAGTATTTGAAAATCTCAGCTACCATGACTTAAACATATTTCAAGCACCAACAACAACTTTCTTGCTAATAATTGTTATAAAGAGGTAGTTTACTACTACATTTTATTAGCATTTTATTATTTTTATGGTCATATTATAATATGCAAATGTGGAATAATATGTTAATTACAAATCTATTTTTGTATAATCTGTATTATCTCGTCCTGGCTGGATGTTCACAAACAGAAAATTCATACTGTACTGTAATATTTGAATATTTTCACTAAAGGTAAGTACAAACATCATATGATATTTCAATACATAACATAACTTCTCAGCTATTTTGAAGTAAATATATCTAAATAGAACGGGTACTCCATTCTGTCTATTTGTTGGTGACTCATTGTCGTTGATTCGATGACGTTTCTTTTTCTTTTACATTATATTTCATTGCCTGACTTCAATGATCTCTGAATAAATGTCGTAAGTAATTAATTTAATTTAATTAATAACAGTGCGATTATACAGACTAAGTATTACTTCATATTTATCTGCAGTGTTTACCGAGCAACAGCATGATGAATATAGCAATGAACAAGAGTTATTATCACTCAACATCCAGTGTTCCTCTAGTAGCAGCTACAACTGGAGACATGCTTGATTTGTTCGCAAGAAAAACGCCACATAAAGAGGCCTATATCTTTCCGGTTGAAAAGATACGACTAACATTTGCAGATTTGCATAGGCAAGTGAGTGCATTAGCCACTGGGTTTCTATGTGTTGGATTAAAACGAGGTGACACTTTGGGTATTTTGTCATCATGTGCACCTGAATATATATTGGTGCAGATGGCTGCTGCAACGATTGGCGTGATACTGGCACGATTTCACATCGCCTTGCCAAATGATAAGCTGAAAAATAGTATGTTAAAAAGTGAGTGCGTTGCTCTGGTTATTGGTACCAGTGATGGTGATGTATACAAGCGATTGGGTCAAATCATACCGGATTTGAAAAAATCAGGTTCTGGAATACTACAAACAAAGGAATTGAAACTTCAACAGATAATCACTAACGTTTCGGCAGCTCAAGGCAGGTGGAAATCTATAGACCAGGTCATGAATATAGGCGACGTGGATCCTGAAGGTGGTCAAAAGCTACTGGAAGAAACCCGCAAAATGGTCGAGTTTGGTGACCTCTATACCGTTTTCTATACTTCCGGGACCACTGGGCCATCAAAGGGCACACTCCATACATATTTAGCAAATCACAACGCTTACATAATGAGCGCAGATCGATTTGGATGGACGACGGATGACATCCTACTGTCTGCTAATCCATCACTGTCCCATTGCAATTCAGAAATAGCACACATTGTCCCTGTAATATTGGGAATGACATCAGTTATCATTTCCCCTGGTGCAAACGTGCGAGATACAATGACTGCAATACAAGATGAACGTTGCACTGTATTGTTTTCCGGTTATCGAAGTCTCTATAACCTTCTACATCATGACAACATAGATCAATATGATTACTCATCTCTTCATTCTATTCTGACTGGTGGCACCACACTCGCACCAGACTTTATCAAGAATATAAGCACACTATTTCAAGCCAAGGTGTTAATTATTTATGGGTCATCTGAGACCTTATGCACAAGCGGGAGAAATGTCACATTGAATGAAAAAGAAGTTATTGATACAGTCGGGCGCCCACTTGGTCACACCGAAGTTAAAATAGTGAATGAAAATGGTAGAATGGTACCATTCAACACACTGGGGGAGCTACTTATCCGCAGCAATTTCATATTTTGCTCATATATTCAGGATGAAGAGAAGACGAAGAAAGCTAAAAGCATTGATGGGTGGTATAAACCAGGTGATATAGCTAAGATAAACAGCAACGGTTATATAACTATTGTTGGAAAAACAGAAGATGTCATCGTGAAAGGAGGAAACAAGATGTACTATGCCATTCTTTTGGACTATATTTTAAGTCATCCCAATGTCAAGGCCGCTTGCATAGTGCCAGTACCAGATGACGAATTCCAAGAAGACTTCTGTGCTTGCGTTTGCTTGATTGAAGAAGCTACGTCCTCCTGCTGCGACGAGCTGAAGGATTTCTACATTCGTAATAATGATACATACAATTGTATTCCAAAACATGTAATGATCTTTGATGATTTTCCGGAACTCCCAAGCGGCAAAATAGATCAGAAGAGCATGTCCCGGGACGTGTTTGCTAGACTGAATTTGAATGAAGACTGGCTTGAACATCGCGTACAGTAACATGGCAGCTGTAATATAAATAGGGACATTTCGAATTGGTTTAGCTAATGCAATATATTTTTTTCGGAATCTAGAAGAGCTGGTCATTATTTGTTATTATTCATTTTTGTCTAAAATGTCTCGCTTCAGTATTGAAGAGAGACAGGAGAGATTTATGTATACAGAATTTCAAATAAAAATAATAGAGTTGTTTTAAAACGAAAACATGAAAACAAATAGATATAGATATAGCATAAAGAAGTTATTGCGAACATGTGAGGTAAGGTGTAATTTTGTGGTTAAACTTGCTAAAGTTAATTACACATGTATATAATATAGACACAGTATTCATTCTACATAAATATATGAAAGTTTATTTATGTCCATTTATACATGATTATGTCATGATTTACTGTAGGGATATGCAAACAGTAGAAATTTTAAAATATCTATTAACATTCAAGTTTATCAATTAGTGAATAGGTAATGTATACTGTCACTGTTAATATTCGTTTGCTTGTGCAAAAATCACTTAAACACGAGTTTGGCAGCTGTTATTCAATGCAGTGCGTGTCAACATATTTTTTTTCTTTTATTTTGGGGATAAGGTATAAATAAACTAAATTGTGTAATTTTACATTCAGATACATTTATTGTATGCTTTCCATCAATAATTGTAAGTTATGTGATAACAATAACGATTCTAACGATAACGATTGCTAGTAATGTGATTTAGAAAATTATATTATTCTTCTACACCATACTTGGAGTACAATTTAAGGCAAGTGCCTAAATGTTGGCTTACTATCATACTGTTTTACAAAAACTAGTTTAGATTAATTTATTTTGTACATCACCATCTTCACAGCTATACCACACTCTCTTCCAGCCATGCGGTATACGTTTCCCAGCTTTTTGACTGCTAGCACATAGATTACTTTCATTGAGTTATAAATACAGAATTGTCTTCTGTACTATTTAAATGTATTTTTTTCTTTTTTTCCCTTTTTTCGTACTTGTCAATATTTCTGTTGTAGATGGCTAACTTCCAGTACCCATTCATTGCTTATATCATAATAGTCATCTACACACACATTGATAGAATACAAGTATCAGTATTCACACATTATTTATATTTCCTATAATCGTAACTAATATATATATATATATATATATATATCGGTATGGCGGGTATTGGGCAATGGTGGTGGAATATTACCGGATGAAGGTGAATTGAAAGCAAATGATTGGATCGTGATATGATTATGTCTACCATGAATTTCCATCTAGAGCTGTTTATGTAACATCTCGCAACTTTCAATATGTTAGTTAAGTCATCTGCAAATTAATTTTTGATATAATGACTAATAAATGATTATATTTGTAGATTTTTCTTATTCTATTCTTATTTTTATTTTATTCATGACTCGTATCGCGGAAATGTGTTTACAGTTTCTGACCTGGCTATTTCGCTGCTGACGACATCCCAAAGTATCTGGATTCTCATTGCCGATAATTACCTAAAACCAGTCCTTTGTATATTATAGACCCCTCAAATATTTTATTGGCACTCTCATTTCTTAACTCGAAACGTGGAGTTGGGTGCCGAGACCATTGAAGTAAACACGAGCGTCCCATCCTAGGCGTCTCTACAGGATGCCACCTTCGGCAAAGTCCCATCCCACCCGTCACAAAACATTAGTGAACAATACTCTGAGACCAATCAATGAGACCAAGCAATGTTGAGTGCTCTGACGCAGAAACACTTGTTTCCTGGGGTCTTTTCTATTGTAAAATTGATATCCTAGAGGTTATGCAATAAAGTAGTTAAAACGCACATTACTGTGTGACGGTGAGTTATTTCACCCCCCTTGCCTAGAACAGCCCTTTTTATGTTTTAGTCAATGGAATATTATGTTATAAAATGAACCCTTTGCCCGTGGCCAAAACAAAGGAAGTGACATATTGTATAGTTCACTAAATGTATTCAGTTAGTATCTCGAATATACAGAAAGACACAGTTTGCGTTGTACAGCATGAAATAGAATTGCGAAAATGATAAAAAAAAAAATAATATTCAAATTGTGCAAGATATCTTTTATTTTGAAAATAAACGTCATTCGTATCAACATCAGATACAATGTAGTGTGTGATGATAATATGAGTACGTCATTGGTCGCAAACTATCCCTCAGACACGAATATCTGAACAAATTCTAACAATTAACGATATTATATATACATAATAGTGATTTTGATTCACGGGTAAAATAACACAAAAACCCTAACATTTATTGAACATTTAACTTGGAAAAACAACCCTTAGAACCCCGTCAGCAAGCAAGTCACACTGGTTCTCACTGCATAGGTTGCGACGCCCCTGCCAAATTCTAAGGCCAATTAAAAACCTGATATAAACACGTAACGTGCTGTGCATACAAACAAACAACAGCATTGAATGAGATGTATTGAATTAGACACAGACATGAAACAACAAGACAGAACAAAACGACAATTTGAATTACAAAAGTGTAAAAACTACCTCTGAACCATAATAGGCACAAATGGATTTGTAACTTTCCATTTTCCAAGAAACATTTGTAGTCCAAATGTATTCGAACCTATCGTCCTGTTTAACAAGATTGAAGTACTGGTTTTTGGATTCATTTCCGATGGTGAGTTTTTACAATCTCCAACGGATTCTAAAAAACGTCCCTCTCGTTTATTTCGCCGAGAGATATGGATAGCAACTTTTGCAGTGATAAGGATAAAAAAGAAAAATACTCTCACACTGACGAGAGAGAAATCCACGTGAGTGTTGAGGTGGCAGAATAACGAACCACCAAGAGTAACCGTCAAACCAGGTAAAAAATCAATAGAAATGCGCGAAATGAAGCAAACAACCCGTATTATTTATAAACTAAACTAAACCAACACGTTTGCTGATGATTTATGTTTAATTGATTTGAAATATTTATTAATAATGAACATTTGTACATAATATAATAACCTTAAATCCACAAAAAGGTTACATAAATAAATGCACACACGTATGAGAATGTTCTAAAACACTATTCATGATTTAACCTAACCTCCGTAGGACAACGCAAGTTTTGCGTAGAGAAACAAGGCACCCTCAATGTCGATTTGTCGATTTAATCTTAGACAATTATTTTCCGTGTTACCCAAGGGAATGATGTGTATCCAGTTGGTTCAAATCATTCAATTTGAGCAAGTTGTGTTGATTCGTTCGTGGCTAGAATGCCGACATGAGCACCTCGACATTCCGAGTTAGGTCATGTGTGTCAAGTTACTCCTTATATAGAGTCAAAATGTACATTCTCACTATTTATGTACTTCCACATGTGAACAATTTAGAACTGTGATATAACATTGATCCGATTAAAACGAGGATGTTTGACTCTAGAAGCATTATTCATCGTGTCAGAAAAGAGACCCTTTCAAGACCACTAACACCGGCACAAACCATACATATCTAAAAATTGGAAAACAATGTTTAGCAATGTATTATTATCAATGATTTTTGTATTTTAGCTGTGGTATAATAACTAATAAAAGACGTATTGACCGTCAACTGTGCTGTGATGATGACGAGTTTGGCGTCCCAATAATGCCTACCTGAATGTATTCCAATGCGTAATTTCAACTTCTTTTGTGCTCTATGTCTCATGTTCAATGTCTTGACTGCTTATAATATGGCTAGCGCCATACACTCTATCTCTCTAGCACGGTAGTCGCCATTACGAATAGGAAGACCCGATACAACCATATAAGCGTCACCAACCGCCTCAACCTGTATTCAAGCGGTGTGATAATTGGCTGAATTGAAAATAGAACTCGATATGCAAATCAAAAAAGCGACGCTGTCCCTCGTTCGCTGCTAATTATCGTTTATTGGAAAGAACTTATATATTGTTCAAAGTTTTTTATTGGAAAAGTACCTATTTTATACATAAGCTTTTGTTTGTGTGTAATCTGTAAATCTTGAAAATGTGCTTCAAACTTTAGTGCAGAGCGATATAGTGGATGTGATAACACTGTATTTACAAATGTACATTTATAATATCGGTATAAACAATATTAGCATACACGTCAATCATATGTGCGGAATATCACAGCCGGAACGCAACCCACTGTCACAGAGGGCGTTTATTAGACATAGGTCACGTGACAATTTTCAAATGTCGGCTAGAGAATCACGTGTTTCCGATAGGCCAGCAAAACAGTTATTTTGGACACCATAGTCTTTGAAAGTTTGAAATGTTCTGCCATATATATAATAAAATCTAGTTCTTATGTGCTAAATAGTGCGCTTGATTCGTGCCAGCAGTATTTTTAGAATCGCCACACATCATTTTTCCTCGTCGTTAGCGAGAGAAAAATGGATCATCTGAGCGAGTTTTTATTATTCATAGTACTATATCTTCGTATGTAGACAGTGTGGCACGATAAGTAAGATATCGTTAAAAAACTGAATATGTCGACATTAAGCTCAGTGATTTTCTTGAAAATCGCTCTGCTTTTAAAAAAATGCGACACTTCCGAATCTACGAGAGTAAAATGGTAAAATGTATCTTCGTTTACTTGTACTCTAGATTTCGATTTTTTTTACTAAAGATCAACGATTTCACGCTATAGTGTACTTTTACTTGATAAATATCATGAAGTTCATATATCTCTTTTTTACTGATTTGACTATGATGTGTTGTACTTTTTTTGTCGATTGTTTTCAGTCATTTGTTTTGTGTTCTTGTATTTGTAAATTTCCCTACACGACGTTTGTAAACAGATCCGCCATATATTGTTTCCACTTTATCAGTACAATGTGAATCAATGTTATGATATAGCATGTGTATATAAATGGGGCTTTGTGATAAAGAACCCCATTTTTTCATACATTTTCAATGTATCCGTATGACATAAGACATTGTTATTTCATTATATTTTTAAATCCTTTTTATTAAAATGACTGTTTTGGCAACTTATATAACTTATATTAGC